TTTTCCTGCCACAGAACTTCTCTTCCAATAATATTCAACAGTGCAACAAAGATTGCTTGCGTTTGTCCTTCCATATGTTTTCTAAGATGTTAAATCAGACAAAAATGTGTCGTATTTCCAGGTTTCCTGCATCATTTTGAATGAACATGCATTCTAGACTATTCTGTCTTCTTGATGATAATATAATTAATCACAGAGAAACTTAAAAAAGCTTCATCTACTCTCTCAATGCTGCCAAACCTTCTAACAGATCTTTTTCAAATGATTACTTAAATTAAATATATGAATGGAACTTTCCTAAAGTTTTACATCATAACGATTTTTAACAGCACTAATGCAGCAACAATTTTGCTTTGTTTTTACAAATGCTGAGCTCACTGCCTTATTATTCTTGTTACAAAATCCTCCAAGAATTGTTCAAATAATCTAAACAACTCCAAGAGCTGGAAGTCTTTATCAAAACTTCAATGGCTTAGGCAGAGATTTTTTGACAAGGTTAAAACGAAAATGAGCAGGGTTAATCTTGCTCGAGTGCAGATATTGTTCTGCATTTCTCACACTTGGTTTCTCTTTTCCAAATACCGAGTTGAGTGAAATGGCAAATTGTGTCCTGAACTGGCAGGAATGTTTCCGATTTGCCCACAGGCACTGGAGGCTGCCCAGCAATATGTAGCCTGCTGGGAAGCAAGACGTGATTTTCTTCCAAAACACACTTTAATAGTGAAATTCTTTCTGTTGTTGTTCTTGTTGCTTCTGTGTCTTATTTGCTTATCAAAAGACTCTTTTTATTCTTTCCAAAATAACTCTTTTATTGCAAAGCAAAACACTTTTAGATGTTTATTAGTATCAGTCTTAAGTCAGCAATTCTCTCACTGCTCCAAAGGCTGGGTTGAAAATTCCATGAAATCCTGTGACCTATACCACGCAGTGCAGGTAACCAGGTGCTACACAGCAGGCTCTTATACTTGCAAATCTTGTTATTATATTGTGAATTATTTTTGGCTTTCCTGATTAAATAGCTCTTTGATCTCATGAGTAATTACTTCTTTTTCAGTAAACATCCAAGCAGTTTATGCATTCTTTTAAAACACTTACTTCTGAGATGAAAACAAAAGACATTAGGCACACCTTAAAAACCAGGACTTACTTGTTGTATTTTGTAGGCTTTGCCTTTTTCAGATTTGACCCTGGAGGCTGATCTGTATAGGCACTAAATTTGTGCTTTAGTATAATAGGTGTTTTGTCTGAGAATAAATACATGGTAGGACGCTTCTGGTAGAAAATCAAGATTATAAAAAAGTATGCAAAGAACCAGTTCTCATGCTTAAATACAAAAAAGAACCCTGTAGGTTTTGAATTTTAATGTAACCTCATGATGGATTAGACATTTATAACATAATGGTGTACCATAATGATGTCTAGTTAAGGCCAAGGTTGATACAGATGGTCATCAGGAGAGATCTGTCTTCTTAGAGAGACTGGATATCATGTGAATGCAGGCAAAAAGCCCATGGTCAAGAGGCCAGTGTGCAGTGCTGCAACAAATGAGGAAAGAAAATCTGGCCTAGTCCGTTCTGCAGGTTCCATGTTAGTTGCATTATGTCAGGGGTGCAATGTGCAAGCTATGACAAGAGTGCTGTCTGGTCCAGCACCCATTGCACATGTGTATTTGCAACACAAGTGTCTAGTTTCTGTGCATCTGCAGGATTTTGTGTGCACACCTCCAAAACCAAAAAGGTACATCATATTTTAGCTAGTCATTGAGTTTGCATGCCCTCCATGCTATTATCTGACTTCATCTGTGCAGATGGTGTTTTTGCATGCAGTTACTTCTTGTGACACAACAATGGAGATTTGCTTGCTCAGGGACATGATTTAGCAGGGGGTTGTTAGAGTTAGGGTAGTATGGTTAGGTTGTGGTCGGACTTGATGATCTATAAGGTCTTTTCCAATCTGAGCAGTTCTATGATTCTGTGATTCTACGATTTCTGAATCTCTGACACCTCTTCAGCCAGTTTGCTGGTAAATGCATAGTCAGCCGCAGTGGAGCATTACCTTAAAACAATGTATGTGAAGTCCTTACTGTATTAGTATTTTGAATTTGTAAAACTGATATTTTCAACAGCTACTTTTAGAAATTTAAATCAGGAACATGCTCCATATATATAGTAACATGTATAATAACAACTGGCTTTTCTTGGTAGTCTAATATCTGTTGTAGACTTTGCTTTGTAAGAGCGTTGACTGTAAAAACACCTAAAAATGTTAGATTAAAATCTGAAAGTAAGACATGCTTCAATAGTTGATAATTCTTATCTTTTCTCTGTTGCCATTTGAGCAGGTGCCATTTATGACACCTTTTCATGAAGTGCTTTACCACTTTATGCATCTGTTAAAAGATTTAGAATGGAAAAATTCAAGGTGTGTCTTGTGTAAAAAAGCACACTAATAAATTCCTGCTGCTTCAGCACATTATTTTAACAAATATATTGAGTGGAAAGACTGGCTGAAGATTTAACATGCTACTTAAATTCTTACCACCATTATTTTCTGAACTTTCAAATAAAAGCAATGCAATATGTATGGATGGATTTTGAAATATCCGTTGTTGGTTCAGGTGTTCAAATTAAGATTTCGCTTCAATCAAAACTTGGCACTTAATCCAAACTTCCAAACATGAACTGGAAGGCGTTTTTCTCTCCTTTTAAAAAATGCATATATATATTTTATCACATCACAAAACACTTTACGTAGTACAAATATAACCTGTTTTACTTTGCCCTGGGGCAATTTCCATTCTGTAATAAAAGTTGCTTTATTATCACAAATCCATATAAAACATGGTGAAAACTGTTATTCAGCTAAAATACTGAAATAATGTGTGGATTTGCAGCAGCATACTTGTGACTTCCATGGCTAAAAATACATTTAAGAACTTCCCCTGTATATAAAAGAAGTGTGTATAAATCCAAACGAGATAAACTCCAGCAAAGTGACCATTGAGCCTACATGAGAGAGGACAATATTCACTATGTGCTTAGACTGTGAGAAAAGAGTGTTTTTGAAGAATGGCTTGCATGCACACTCAATTTCAGCTTGACAACAAGTACTCACCTAACTCAAAGTCTAGTTCCCAATGTAATCTTGCTATTATGACTTTGGGAGAGGCTGCACAGCTCTGCTTGCACAGTGAAAGCACTTCCAGTCCAAAAGCCCAAGGCTGGCCAAATAACAAGAATCTACCTCCTGTGGAAGAAGGGACGGGCAACTCAGAAATAATACAAAGAAGTTGTTAAGATATGTAGAGAGAAAATCAGAAAGGCAAAAGCCCAGCTTGAACTCAACCTGGCCGCTGGAGTAAAAAGGAACAAGAAATTCTTTTGCAAATATATCAACAGTAAGAGGAGTACCAAAGAGAATATCCATTCTTTATTGGATGAGGCTGGGAATGTGACCACTGAGGATGAATAAAAGGCAGAGTTTCTGAATGCCTTTTTTATGTCTGTCTTTAAAGGCCTCACCAGTTATCATCAGGGTACTCCACTCTCTGACCTGGTAGTCTTGGCTGGGGTGCAGACAAATCCCTCCACGATTCAGAAGGACGCAGTCAGAGACCTACTACTCCAGCTGGACTGTCACAAGTCCATGGGGCCAGATGGGATTCACCCGAGAGTGCTGAGGGAACTGGCTGAGGTGACAGCCGAGCCACTTGCCATTATCTACCAGCCCTCTTTGTTGACTGGTGAGGTCCCAGAAGACTGGAAACTTGCTAATGTGACTCCAATCTACAAGAAGGGTTGTAAGGAGGATCTGGGGAACTATGGGCCTGTTAGCCTGACCTCAGTGCCAGGGAAGGTTATGGAGAGGATTGTCTTGAGGTAGATCATGCAGCATGTGCGGGACAACCGGGGATCAGACCTAGCCAGCATGGGTTCACGAAGGGCAGGTTCTGCTTGACCAACCTGATCTCCTTCTATGATCTAGTGACCCATCTGGTAGACAAGGAAAAGGCTGTTGATGTGGTCTGTCTAGACTTCAGCAAAGCCTTTGACACTGTCTCCCACAGTATTCTCCTGCAGAAGCTGGCAGCCCATGGCTTGGACAGGTACACTCTTGGCTGGAGAAGGAAACTGGCTGGAAGGCCGGGCCCCAAGAGTGGTGGTGAATGGAACTAAATGCAGCTGGTGACCTGTCACGAGTGCTGTTCCCCAGGGGTTGGTGCTGGGGCCTGCGCTCTTCAACATCTTTACTGATGATCTGAATGAGGGCATTGAGTGCATCCTCAGTAAGTTTGCGGATGACACCAAGTTGGCAGGAAGTGTCAATGTGCCTGGGGGTAGTGAGTCCCTACAAAGGGATCTGGACAGGCTGGATAGCTGGGCTGAAGCCAATGCGATGAGGTTCAGCAAGGTCAAATGCTGGGTCCTGCACTTTGGCCACAACAACCCCAGACAACACTACAGGCTTGGGGCAGAACGGCTGGAAGACTGCGCAGAGGAAATGGACCTGGGGATATTGATTGATGCTGGGCTGAACGTGAGCCAGCAGTGTGCCCAGGTGGCCAAGAAGGCCAACAGCATCCTGGCTTGCATCATGAACAGTGGTGCCAGCAGGAACAGGGAAGTGATTGTCCCCCTTACTCAGCTCTGGTGAGGCTACACCTCAAGAACTGCATCCAGTTTTGGGCCCTCACTACAAGAAAGACATTGAGGCCCTGGAGCGGGTTCAAAGAAGGGCGACAAAGCTGGTGAGGGGTCTGGAGCACAGGCCTTATGAGGAGCGGCTGAAGAAGCTGGGATTGTTCAGTCTGAAGAAGAGGAGGCTCATGGCAGACCTTACTGCTCTTTATAACTACCTGAAGGGAGGTTGTAGTGTCTGGGGGTCGGCCTCTTCTCTTGTGTAACTGGTGATAGGATTAGAGGGAATGGCTTCAAGCTGCGCCAGGGAGATTTAGGCTGGATGTTAGGAAATAGTATTTCTCTGAAAGAGTGGTCAGGCACTGGAATGGGCTGCCCAGGGAGGTGGTGGAGCATCGACCCTGGAGGTGTTCAAGGAACGTTTGGACGCTATGTTGAGGGACATCATTTAGTGAGAACTATTGGATGGGTAGATGAGTGGACTGGGTGATCCTGGGGTTATTTTCCAACTTTAGTGATTTTATGATTCAAGTACTATCAGCAAGGCCACTGCAAACAAAACCAAACTACCTCATAACAATGCACCAATATTCTCCCTCATCTACTCCTTCACCGATCCACACCATTGTTCATAAATACTCTGAACACTAATCTAAAACCAGGCTGCTCAACAGAGTCTTCCTTACTGCTTACAAATTACTAATCTCATGCCTACTTTTTTTTTTTTTTTTAAGCAACATAGGTGCTGCAAAATACCACTTTGGCTTGTAAAGTAAAAGCTCATTTTCTACCACTTTTGACATTTTGAAGAAATCAAGAGTCTCAATAAAGTTCCCTTAGATACAAACAAAAGGCATTGAGGAATTACTCACTTGTACTACTCTACAATGCAATTGCTTAAATGCAATTTCTAACTTCATATTTATGGGAAATAGTTGACACGTATTAGAATAAGATATTTGTACAATCTTAATCAGAGACTTTGTACAGTACATTTTTCACTACGAATAAATGTATTTTGAAGAAATTGATCAATCTACATTTTGTTTAGGGCAGATAAGCATGAGAGATGAAACTGGATCTTGCAGATTTTCTATCTGTCATTTCATCATTAAAATGACCCAGATTACCCAACCTAGTCCTGAAAGCAGGAACTCTATTCATTTTCTGAAAAGGATATGTACAGAACAAGAATTAGAAGGCATTTAGAAGTGTGACACACATTAAATCAAGAGCTGACCTACCTCCATAGATTTGATCTACACATTGCAGGGTTATGTCATTTTCTCCAATGATCTTATTCTTAAATTGTGGCTCCTAGAACACAGGAAAAAAATCTCAGAAATCTTGCACTACTAAGAACTAGCTCTTCTCACAAGTAAAGTGTGTACTTGGCAGATACTGCAATACCAGTTTCACTCTTATTTTTATAAGCTATGTAAGACAAAACACGAAATAGCTCTTAAAATACAGATAAACTAGGTTACACAGGCATGGTATATAAGCTGAAGATTGTGTTTAAATTTCTACTATGCCTACAATCATTCTTACTCTCCAAGTAACTTTGAAACACACATTTCTACTGAAGGTCCCATTTTGAACTAGAATCACTGCAGTAAACAGGAAATACAGTAACTTTATGTAATCCAAGCTCTTTTATGAAAAGTTTCCTTACTGTGGGAAACTGGCAGGAAACACAAAGTGTCTTAAAAGAATGCATATCCCAAGTGTTCTCAAGACACTTATTCCAACATAAGAATTGAACTTATCACTAGGCAAAATAAAGTCACACAAGCCAATTCTGTCAGGTTTCCTTCACCTTCCACAAATTCAGCAGATTCAAAAAGAACTTGAATGATGCCACAAAATACTAATGCCAGAAGGCTTATGTACACTACATGAGCAAATAATATATAGTTGTGAACAAAGCTCATTCAAACTATTTCCAGGTCTGCTCTACTCTGAAATAGGTGACTAATAATGAACTTACACTGAGAAATACTTGCTGATTCAGCTTGCTATAAACCCAGGATTTAATAAGCTGAAAACAGAACAGAAATTAGCAAGGTCACTACCATGTTTAGAATATATCTCATGGGATCTGTGGGAATGGCTGTGCAGCCTTGTCCAAATTCCTTTCAGAAGGTTTGAAAAACCCCATATTTTACTGCAGAAGCCTTAGTTTTCAATATTAAATTCCCTGAAACTTTGTCCCCCAAATATCTGGCTGCAATCAAAACAACAGATGCAGACTGATTAACACAAGTCTAGCACCATTAAAACTTTCTATAAATATATACTCATTCTTATATAAAGGAAAAGTAAATTTATTTAGTCAAAGAGACTATACTTCTTCAGAGTCTGTTTGGTCATAATAAGAAGACTTGTCTTCTTACGTTATCATCTGAAGTAGAATCATCATCGAGGAAAGCAATCTTGAAGTTTGTGCATACAAGTTTTCCATAAGTGCCACGATTTGATCCATCTTCTTGTATGTACTTATATACTGTGCTTGCCTCACAAAGCAGCTGTTCACCTGTATAAAACAAACATTAACTTGTAACGACTGATATGTACTGAAATAATGGTACATCTTAAAACTAGCGTTTACTTCCTTTGCTGCTTCATGTAACTGTGTGCTTGTAGATATTTAAGTACTTACAGAAAGAATAAGAGGAAGCTCTTGAAATCAGTACCCAGAGAGCCTCTCAGGTTACTAACGTGACTAAAGATGAACTAACCATGGTTCGCTGCACACAGCAAATTTTATAACAAGAAGCATCTTGACCATGGCCCAGTAACAGGAGAATAATACGGAATAATAAAGACCCACTACAGATATGTATACTTGAAAAACAAAACCCAAATCCCAGTAAAGAGCAGTTAATACAGTCAATGAACAAACTGAAAACTGTCCCAGTTTTCCACACCACTACACTGTTTATAATGCTGAAACATCTGAGTTAATTATTATAGTGTTCTCACAGTTAGTTTTCCATAGCCTTAACTGGAAATCTTCTTTATTTTACACATCCCAAACTATTTTAAAGTTCTCAAACAAGTTACAAAAATGTTTAGTGAAGTTTTAATCTCCAAGTTAGCAGGTACTCAACTTCAACTTTAAAATCAAAGCATGTTTTAATAAATACAGACACTTAGACTACTCCTTTCTAGAAGGAAATCATGACAGAACAACATTACATTAAGCTTTTACTTGTGGTCTGTCTTAGCAATCTCATCTTTCCTAACCTTGGAAAACACTGATGTTTTTTTCAAACAAATGAAAATTTTATAAGTCTCATAACAATGAATGAGATAAGGAAAGGCCAAAATAGCTCAAAATTGGAAACAGGGCACATAGAAGTTAAGTATCTACTAGGTTCACAGCCTTCAGTTTGAAGATAAAAAAAGAAATCTAAACAACCTTAAGGAAACAGGACAAAATGGAAGTTTGGACTATTTTCCACATGCATCTTAGCTGAAGGTACTCTTCTCTACAAAATATACATCAACTTTTCAAAAATTCTCTATAATCCACACAGATAGATACTTAAAATATTCAACCTGCATGGTGGTAATCCACAAACAAGTATTTTACCATCCTCGACATGGATGTAACTTGGGTAATTATGATACACAAATGAGAGTACGAATAATAACTCTTATGTAGCTCTTTTATTATTTACTTCTAAGCACAGTTACCTGGTAGTAAATGAGGATTCACTTCCTTTTCAACTGGTTCCTTTATATGTATTTCCTAGAGAGAAGAAGAGTAATTACTTCTTGGCAGAAATCATATCTTTAATATACACTGTACATGACTGCACTCACACTCTAGCTAACAGCACAATTAAAGTTGGGAAGAGTACTTCCTCTCTTAAAGTAAAGAGAAAGTTTGCAGTACACTCCTTCCACTTAGTGATCTATCTAATAGACAGCTGGCTTTAAGATAGTTTCACAATTGAAAAATGAAATTGCTTTCATTAGGAACAGACAAAAAAAAAAAGCATTACTACTAGCATAAGTTTCTTCAGTAAAAATAAATGGGTAAGTGTAAACCTAGTGTTACATTACCTCCCAGAGTTCACTGAAAACTCTTCCATATAACTAGTATTTGTTTATAATGCACCCTTGGTAGTTTTAAATTCCTCATCCTTGTTAGCTGTTTCCACTTTTCTTATGTGTATTTTTGCAATCAAGGTACGTAAGTCATTTCAACAGCACTAAGATTATAGTGAAATAGACTTCAGAGCAAGGGGGGAACACAAGCCAGAAGATGTTTGGACTTCAGTTTGGACTCAAAATGCCTGAAACAAACCTATTCAACCCTGACTATTCCTTATTCTAGCCTTGAGGTGCTGACAGTTGGGCTAAAAATCTCCAGCTGAAGGAGCATTAAACAGGAAGATGCACTGCGCCCTTCCTGCTTAGACAGATCAGACTTCCTCCTGCAGTCAGAGTCACTTTGCATGCACACAAGTTTTTGTGGAAAACTATTAGTTAACTGGAAACCACCCCCAGGGCCACAGCAGTAAGCAAACTAATTTTAGCTTCTGACAGCATCCGAAGTCAGATTTTTCAAATCAAGACAAGCAATTGCAAGGACACATAAGCAACAGGAAAAAAAGGTTCTGAGAGCACAAAAATAATCTCCATTTACCCTTCATACAAACATTTGCTCTCAAAGCTCAAAAGAGTTTTACAGCTGCATAGTAAAACTAAAAATACCAGGAAACTATGAGAGCAGCAGACTTTCAAGGCAGGCTGACAGAGGTGAAGGTTCTAAAAAAGCAGTGGTGTTACGAAGAAAAAAATCAGTTGGCAGCTGACACAGAGAACAGAACACAGTTTACTGGCTTTGACTTCCAAGACTGGCTCTTGCACAAGTAGTTTTAGTCAAAATTAATGTTTGTCAGCTAAACAAGTTACTATACGAATACAGCTCTGGCCAAACACTGCCATGTTCAGAGAAGAAATAAGGTTTTCTAATGCTGGGTTTTCACCATTGGCAGCTCTGCAATGAACACTGTGTTTTCCAGTGACTTTACAATTATGCATCCTATATCCTACATGCACCTAAATGCAGCACGGCTCACTTAGAAACTGTGCACCAACAATCACTAGTATTGAACAATACAGAAGTATATTGACTTTGCATTCTCCTATTAGCCTTGAAGAGATTACAAAGAATGTAATAACTACTGTGTATATACATAAACCACTTAAGTCTCACACTATATCTACCATTTCTTCAGTGCTGCCAGAGAATTACAGAAAAAAAGAAAAAAAGACTCCAAAGAATTCTTTTGAGTTAACATTTATCTGCTAAAGTGCAACAAAAAGCTTTTTATAACAGGTTCAAAATGATTTGTCCCTGTGACATGAGTGGTTAAAGGGTAAATTAGTTGACTTTTGAAAACAGCGGGAATTTTACTTAGCACCACAGCAAATCAGAGACTTCAGTCAAACATACACTAAAGATCAGCTTTTAAAAAATGCAACTCCACCACCAGTTAACAGAAAACAAAATGATGAAATAACTACAAGCAGAATTCCCATGCAACAACTTACCACTGCTGAAACTCCACAAACAAGGGATCTATTTTAGAGTTAACACTCACATTCCCTAACAAAAGCATAAATCCTGCAAAGATGGTTTTCACTCATATGCACTTGGGATGGCTAGAATGCAAACAACGAGCAGCTGAACACTGCCAAAGAATCCATTCTGCTGAACTTGTTTCCCAAGGAAGGACACTAAAATGTTGGATTCTATTAACGTCACTTCTTGTGTGTTCTTTTTAAGAGATAAGGCAAAAATCTGAGGAAAAGTTGTTAATCAGCCACAAGTCAGCACAAGCTGTACTGAACTCAGTTTAGCTACTTTTTCTTCTTTATCAACTCAAAGTTTCTAGAGTGTTCCAGTTCGGGACATTCAGATCCTGGGACCGACTTCAGTGCCTGTAGCCATTACAGGGCACACTCCTCAACATCCATTTAATCACAGCCATACAGTTCATGCTCTCTTATACCAGGTTTGTGTGACTACATAGTGAGGTAAATCACAGTTTGTAAGACCAGACTGGAAGCCTCTACATGTGCTTGGCTTTATTGTTACTGCTTAATGATAGCAGAACCAGTTCATGAACAGAACAAATGAGCACAGAACCAAAAGCAAAGAAGGCAGCAGAAGCAGGTGCATCTCTTTCAACAAGCTATAAAATCTGCTCAGACCATACGAAGCTTCACTCGTCAAACATTTGTAGAAGTTAAGCATGTAAGCACTTTATGTATACGACCACTGAAAGCTACCCCCACCTCTGTGCTGATGCTTCTTCACCTGTAGCGTCCTCATTCTGAGTGCCTAAAGCAGCATCTTCACACTTCTTACCCAAGATACAACACAGAAAGTTCTATTAGGAATGATACCTAAGAGACATGTAGAAGACACTACGCAGGAAGTTTGGATTGCCTTGGAAAGGAGGAAAACAAAGACCTCCACTTTACTGAACATCATACAAACTTTCTCCACCTATGTGTGTATCATACTCTGCATGCCTTTTTCCAAGTTATCTGAGTAAACAGTGAGAGGAGAGGCAACACACCAACATTTCACATTGTTATGACTGGTAACTTCAGAACACACAGAACCACAGGCTGATATGGCACACCACACAACAATTTGTTCTGCATCATCCTTCTCCAAGCCAACCTCAGCTGACTGCACCGTGACTGCCCTGCAGACACCACACTCCTCATGGATTCTTTGCTTCAATAGCCAGGTGTTGCCTAATGTTGTTACATGGCTTTTTTAAATAGCCTGCAGGAAAGCTCCACGTCATACCGAAGCATGCTGTGGACTTTTTTTTTTTTAAATTTAACTATACTTCACTACACTCAGTCTTCTCTTAAAGACTATTTTCTGATCAAGTCTAATCCCATCCTGTATTCCAAATAAAACAGAAGAGATACCGCGTTTAATCAAAATAACAGTACTGAAAATAATCTCTAAATGCCTGTTTTCCTTCCTTTCACAGCTCCATTATCCAAGTACCCATTAGATCACTGCACATGTTTTCCACATTTGTTTCATCTTTTATCCTTTCCTCTTTCCTCACATTGTTCTGCTCATCTCCTCTGACTTCAGTGCCCGGTTTCCCCCACGTCAGCTTGTGGCCCAGCTGCCTACTTGGGGGACTTTTAATCCTTACACCACCCATCACCCCACCACTCTAATCAGGACAGCCATCAGCACAGAATACACAATGAGATATCATGATCTATCAGGAACAAGTGTTTGTAGTAGTTACAGACTGCTTAACTTCCACTCACATTCCACAGGGCACACTCTGCATCTACTGAATAACCAGCAGTCACCCCCCCTTTCTGATCTTGCTTTGACCCCACACTCACTCAGAGCTCTGATGGGGCAAAGCAACAACCAGGCACCACTACTGCTCTTCTGAAACTGCATGGAACAGAATTACAGAATTTTCAGTTGATACTTACATATGTTAGAAAAAGAACATGCCACACGTTAATACAAGAACTAATCTCTTAGAAGAATTAACACAAGAATTTTAACTTCAAAGCATATACACCAAAATAAAGAGTAAGCTTCTAATCAAGTTTGACAGCACAACTTTTATTCAAACTGAGGTTTTACAGAAAACATGATTCACATGTTAATCTTGTATAAGTTTACAGTTTCTAAGTTTTAAAGTTAGGAAACATGAAGTAATTCATCGCTTCTGTTTTCTGTGTCCCCACAGACAAATACTCCTAGCCTATGACCAGGCATGTAAAAACATTGACTTTTACACCCTGGTGTTCACTCCATTTCCTGCAGGGTAGCCAAGTCTGTCCTGAGGGGAAGTGTGTCATTAATATCAACATCCTATGGGCTCGCTCTTAACAGACCACTGATTGATCTGTGGCTCCATACAGCAGAGCATAACTAGGTTATATTTAGCCAGACGTCAGAAACTCCACTTTTCCAGACGTTCTGTGAAACACAACAGAAGCCACTTCCATTCCTTAACAAATAGCATCTTCTGTTTACACCTTACTTCTACCGTGCCATGGAGTATTACTATGGGTAGAATTCTCACTTCTTCAATTAAAAAAGCACAAAAGCAGCTTAAAGCAAGCTTGATCTCCCTGAGCATTACCTATAGTGTCCCTTAAGTGGAAAAAATGGAGGCCAGGCAAGCTGGGACTGGAACCAAGCTCAACTTCTTTAGTGAAGGGCTCCCCTAACCTAGAATCAGGTCTTAAACAATTTTTCAGGCAACGAAGGACAAGCCCAACGAACATCAAGGTTGCAAGCATGAACAGCCACAGCATAACACAGTATATTGCTCTGTAGGGCCAGATAATCTTGTTGCAAGTCAGAAGCAGAAAGGAGGCAAGGCTCCATACATTTAGAGGAGAGTCCATCATCAGATCAAACGCCACCCAGATGTAGCCTTAACTCACAAAGCCCCTGTGCAGCTGTTTCCCACTTTGTGGCAGAGTCTACCAGAGGAGGACACTAAACATGACTGTCACCTATGTGCTTTTCCAGGCAACTGCTAATGAAAGCAACAGCCTCCAGCCTACCCTAGTATGGAAACTGCATTATCTTGATGAAATGAGAGTTTCCAGTTCACCAAATTACGCTCCACAGAAGAGGGACTGGAACGTTTCCACTGTTTTACCAGCATAGCCTGTTTCAAAACTCAGCTAGATGGAAGTTAACATATATAGAAAATTTGTGTCCTGAAGGTTATCATTTCCACATGCACATAAAATACAGTTCCTTGACAGATACTCACTTCTGCTTATTTTTAGTCTATCTAACATGGTTGTCTAGATCTCCAGACAACCTCACAGGTTTCATTAGATATCTAGAGTTACATTTTTAATACTACTAAAAACCATTCAAGTCTTCCAGCTTCCTGTGCAATCACGTCATGGGGCAATTACAGGTTGTCAGAAAGACAGTAACACTTGACAGAGCAAAGAGTTAAACTTGCTTTACTTGCTGCCAGCATCTGACCTCCGTTTCATTGAGCTCTTGACGCCACAGAAAGACAGCAGCTTTGTGGCAGAAGTCACCCTCTACATATTTCAAAGCTTCAGCTGCAAGGGTCCATGAAATTTAAGTATGTCAGGAAAGCAGCATGAACAAATAAAAAACAAATGACCGAGCTCTGGTACATTAGGATATGAAGTTCTTAATTAAATCTTTCAACATTAAGTGCTCTCATTATCCTTCCTGCAGTTACACAGCAGTAGTTCTGACCAGGTTAACTACTCTTCATCGTTTGGTGGCTTGGCGCACTGCATGTATGTAACTTACACTTTTTCCCACCAGCCTTTTTGTCCCCTGAGAAGTATAATCACCCAGCACGCTTGCTTAAAGGGTGAACTACCTTTTAGCAAGCCCAACAAGTGAAGCTCCTACCTCGATTCCAGGAGCTTTATTTGTAGAATGGAACCACTTTCCTGAGGTAAAAGACAGACTTCACATGGATGTGTTTGCAGACCCAAGAAGTCTTGGTACCTGCTGCCTGTATCCTTTCACTGGGGAGTATAAGGAAGCTTTGGAAGTGCCAAAACTACACGTCACCAGGACTGAAAAACCTACAAAAACAGAGCTGCTGCCACAAATAAGGAAATAGGCTTTGTACAGCACAGTTGACTTAACGAGGCCACAGTAACTCTGCGCTGGTATTTCAGAGACAGCGACAAGCAAAACAGAGGGTTCTCCAAGGTCCCTTCAGCAATCTGCTCAGTACTAATTAACAAGATAAGAAAACATTTTCCCGCAGAAGCTATCACGAGGACGGGAGATAAAGCGTTATTTTGTCACAGGCTGCGGGGAATCGAGGAGGAAGACAACAAGCACAAAGGACTCGTTTCCAAGATTAACCTTCCCGGAACGCAGCGGTCGGCGACACGACGGAGCTGAAGGGCACGGAACCAACGCCACGTGCCCAGCGGCCGCTCCAGCCTAGCCGCCAGCACCGCACCCCGCCAACAAGCGAAAGAACAGCCGAGCGCCCGGCCCCCGCACCGCACGGAAACCCGGCGGGACAACGGGAGCGGGACGACCCGCCGCGCAGCCCCGCCGCCGCCGCCGCCCCGCCAGCCCTCCCGCCCGGCCGCGCCCACCCGTCGCCCCGCACCTCCGGGCTGATGTAGGACACGAAGGACGGCTTGGCCGCCTTGGCTCCGCTGCCCAACATGGCTCCGGCCGCCTCCCGTCCGCCACAGCGACCAGCGGCACCGCCGCCGCTTCACGGGACTCCTCCTCGGCGAGGCCCCGGCCGCGGCATCCGGCGCGCGGAACGCGACCGCCCCCTCACCTCTGCCCCGCCCCGCTCACTGGGCGGGGCGGCTGTCCGTCATGAGAGCGCCCTCCTCCTATTGGCTGGCGGCCGCGGGGCGGGGTGCCGAGGAAGCGCCGTGTCGGTGCGTCCCTGCTAGGCGGCAATTAGCGCCGTTCGTTAACCCGGAGTGGCGGCTGCTGAGCGGCTGGGCAGGGCTGCGACGGCGGCCACGCTTGTAAAACACTGATGGAATGGCTGAGCTAGGAGAGGTTTAAAAGTTCTTGTAGTTCCAAACCCTGGACAGTACCCCGGCCTGGACGTGGTACTGCAGATGAGGTCTCGGGAGCAGAGGGGAACAGCCCCCTGCCTGTCCCTGCTGCCACCCCTCTGTTGATGCAGCCCAGGATACCGTTGGCCTTCTGGGCTGCAAGCATGCACTGCTGCCTCATGTACAGCTTCTTATCCATCAGGACCCCCAAGTCCTTCTCTGTGGGGCTGTTCTCAAGATTTTCTCCCAGTCTGTGCACGCAGCTAGGATTGCCCTGAACCAAGTGCAACACCTTGCGTTTGGCCTTGTTCAACTTTATTCAGTCCTCACGGGCTCACCTTTCTGGATGGCATCTCTTCCTTCTGTTGTGTGCACTCCTCAGTTTGGTGTCATCTGCAAACTTGCTGAAGGTTCACTCAGTCTGTGTCATTGATAAAGATGTCCAAGGGCATCAGTCCCAAGGAGGACCACTAGGAGTATTACCCCAAGTTCACTCTGATGTTAACAGCTGACCAAGTCAAAAATCAGCTGTTTGATGGCACTGTGCATATGGAAAGGAAAGGGATGTTTTTATATTGTGCCAGAGAATCTTAACTCCAATGGAGAATGCAGAAGGAGCTTTAATTCCCACAGAGCACCGGGAATTCATTCTTTAACTTCTCTTCAAAAGAGCCCTACATCCAAGAAGCCAAATGTAACCACTGTTCTGCAGTAACAGCAAAACATCTCCACAGCCCCACGCTTCGCTCCCAGCAGCAATCAGGGCCACTGCAGAGCAGAGGGCAGGTGGGGAAGCAGGGAGCTTCCCTCGCACTCGGTGTGTGGGACTCAGCCCACTGCAGAGATTTGAAACCTTTCTCCAAGAATGAGGGCTGAATTTGGATCTCTGTGACATCGATCATGTCATATTTTAGAATGGAAGAAACGAAGCTATTACATATGCAAAGTAACTTACCTCGGGAAAGCACATTTGCATCTGAAAAGAACAGCTGCAATCCGAAGTCACTGTGCCTCAACAAACTGCAGGGTACCAGGCTCTGCTCTCTTTCACTTCCCCAAAAAGCCCTCTGTGCTGTCTTTCCCCATTCTCTCTTTCAGCTTTGAGTATCTGTGAGGAGCATTCCCAGAAATGAAAAGCAGCTCCTGGGAGGTGTATTAATGCTGCCTCTCTTCCCGTGTCACTTCGGCAAGTCTGGCTCTGTGCTTCCAACAACTCTGTCCATTTGAAAATGAAAGTGAGCATGTCAAATCCTGTCATTTCACTTTTAGATGTGTGCCAGTGACAGTTATGCAAATGGAGGAGAGCAAAACTTTATAAAAAGTCATATTCTAGCACTTTTGTGGTGGATGAAGAACATTCAGCATTTCACAGCCCCTACTTTATCATGGGCTTTTAAAAAAACCTGCATCTGATATTTTGCTTTCCTTCTAAAAATATAATCATGGTATTTACCCCTAAAACTGTCTGCAGGAGGGGAATGCACAGACCAGCTCTGCTCTTCCTATGAACAGAGATTGCTTTGTTTAAAAAACTTACATGCCATGAATTTGAGTAATTCTTTTGGCCAGATTCTCAGCTGTGCCAGGGGCATGGTGGAGCAGCTGATGGAGGGAAGCAAGACTACAAGAAATGTCCTCTGCTGTTTACTTTGGGGCAGTCATCCCTGCTCATCAGTGTTCCCTTGATACTATGGGTCCCATGCCATCCCTCAGATAAGGCTGGAGTGCAGTTGGCAAAGATCACCAACTATGGCTTTTTGCTACATTACAGCTGTTCTGCTGAAAAGCTATCCTGAGACAATTGGAAGATTTTTCTTGTTTTACTCTTATCTGAGCATTACCAGAAGAACAGTCCACAGGTGCAGAAATCTGGACATTTCCACAGAACAATTAGGCTGATACTCCCCAGAGCGTTACAGATGGCCATGCATGCATTGGAGGTAGGTGTGCCAGGAGTGGTGGATTTACACTGTGAACCCAGAGATCAGCCAGGCTTGGTGGGCCTGACATTTCCTATTTGTATTGCTCAAATAAATAACTCAAGGACTGTTATATTAAACAGCATAAAACCACATTACTGAAACGAGTGTGCAAGAAATGTGGAAGGCTTGAGACTAAATTTGATGTCAGATTACTGGAAACAAACAGAACTAAAAATTGGAAATGAGAAATGTAATGATGTCTTACAAGTAAGGGTCAGCAAATCAGTTTGCCCATAAACAACCAGCTATATCTCTGCTGTAAACAGGTTAAGACAACTTCTTATTAAAAGTCTTAGCTTTGTCTACATTGAGACAATTCTATACAAACTAGAAGCAGATGAAAAAGACAATGCTTTTAGTGCTGTCATGATGGCTCAGGCAGCAATCGGCAGTTCCTTCAGCCCCAGTGATGTAAGCAATGGCATTTTTGTGTCTATACTCTGATTACTGAATGTTTTACAAAGGCTTTCCAGAGCTAGTAAGGAAACTGAGGTTTTTAAGCCCTGATCAAGCAGTAACCCAGATATCGAAGAGCGGTGGAGAGATGCCATGAGGGCATCCCACCAATTGCCTGCCAAAACATGACTGCAAGACTTTATTAGTGACAACACAAAGAAAAGTAAGATGGAGGCACTGGCAGCTAAGAACACACCCTGGAGATGGGCATTTACTTCAGTAATAGAGATGTACTTGGGGATTATATATTTTAAAGGAGAGAATGGAAAACGTTGTATTGCAATGAAAGCTGTGAAAATTGAGGGAAGAAAGCATATCACTACTAATAGCAAAACCACCATTCTTCCTTTCTTAGCTTTAAGTGGAAGGAGAGGGAATAACTAATATCTCTAATCACCTGAGGAAGCACATGCATCAGAAAAAAAAAGGACACAGCCTTGGAAAGAATCTTAGGTAAGGACACAAGCAGCTTCCAGTTTGGATGCCTGTCCCTGAGCTAGGTGGTGGAGAAAGCTTCCAAGGAGTCCTTGCTGGAATTACCAGGCAGCCCAGATTCCTTCTCCAGTGTGGATCAGAAGTCCCTGGGGAAGATTTCTAGCTATCCATCACCAACTGAGAATGCAGTCCATCTAGGTAATAGATGTTTCTTCTCGGACTCTTCCTGCTGGATAAGTGGTCCTGCTCTGGAATAAGCCAGAGAGAACCACCCAGCATCTGAGTCAGACTGGGCAGGGCAGGCAGTGTGCCAGCGGAGCAACCTGTGTCAGTTCTCGGCAGCAGCCTCTTCTCTTTGTAAAGCGTAAGAAGACTAAGCTTTTGCTAGCAATATCCCATCTCATCTGTTTTCTCCTTTAGAAGTGAAAATTGTATCTAGCACGTGACTTAAGTACAATGTTTGTTTCAATTTGCATACCAAGCCCTTGCTGTACTCTCTGCTAATGAAAAATGCATGCGTGACTCACAGTAATCATGTAGCTTAGGTACTGACAGAAGCCATCTAGCTCAGTGCTTCTTTTGTCATCCTCAGTTCCCCTTCAGTTGTTGTAACTGAAAATCCAGGCCTGGATAGTTTAAGAAACAGGTATTCTGAAATGGCAAACAGGCCCATTAAGAAAAGCTATATGGTCTTCAGAGAAGGCTAATGGTAAAACATGAATGGGACTCTAGAGGCTGGCTCTAGTTTCCCGTTTTTGTCCCTGAATCAAAGAAGACTTTAGTCTGAGCAAGGCAAACTTTTATTTTAATATAGCAAATGAATATTTAAAGGAGCAAACCTTGTAAAAGTAGCAGATCTTGAAAAAGAAATCTGCTGAAACCATGTATTCCATATTAGCAGTTGTCTGTCATTCGCTAAAAATATTCAGTAGAATTGCTGTGGTTTTCTAAGCATGTGGAAAAAGTTCTTTGACCACACTTTCTAGATTTTAAACACATTCATGGTGATGTGTACACTGAGTTTAGTTCACCTGAATGTCAGATGGGTGTTAGGAAATCAGTCTGTCTGTCCTCTAGCACTCACCTGTGCTTCCAGAACTCCAGAACGTTTTTTCCAGGGAAATTAGTTATTTTAAATCTTCTGTTCCTTCCTGATGTGTGCACGACATTTGTGGAGGGACTGTTCCTCAAGGAGAGTGTGTAAAACAGTAGAGGGTCGGTGGAAACTTCTTCGGATGTTTTTCCAAGCCCTTGGCATTCACGTTGCTTTTCTTTCACTTTGCTTCATTGCTCCTCGGGAAATGATTATGCTCTGGCATGTCCTGTAATGCAAGCTCTGAATTGGTCATGCATCTTGTAAACCGGCATGCCTTTGGATATGCTGGAGAACATGTGGGGACTTTAGTTAAAGCATCCAAAATCCCTGTTCATGAATTACCACTGCCATGTGAGGAACGCTTATCCTGAATCCATTACCCTGAAATCACCCCTGACAGCATGAGAGGCAGACAGAACAGCTGCAAGGCATTTCTTAAGAAATTGAATGCCAAAAGAGCCTGTCTCTTCATACAGGAATTACATCTGAAATGTCTCTCCTCCTGTTCCCAATGATTTTTTAAGGCAGACTCTTCTGACACACATTTTCTTAGGTCTTCCTTTATAACTTCTTTCTTAGGCTGCATTCCTCAGCACAAATCTTTACTTCTTCAGCTCATTTCTTCTCTGCAGCCCACACTGCCTCTGAACATACTGAATCTTTCTTCTACCTCCCCCTATACTTGCTCCCCAAAATATTTCACGTTTTCACTCCAGAAGATATTTACTTCTGATTTACTTCTTACTCTTTGCTTGTAAGAGTCCATTCCAGTACTTGAAGGGAATGTATAAACTGGAGGAGGAATGA